AAGTTTACTCCAATTGAACTATTTCAAGTGCACTAAAACACTCTGCTTATATTCTTCTCCATTCAAGGAACTTGACCGCCTCATTCTACATCATATCTTTAGAACTCAGCACATGCTCGGTATAATCACTCACCACTCACCCAACAAATATTCGGAATCTCCACTATGTCCATGTATTCTTTTAAGCACTAAGAATGTATCAATGAACGCCACTGACAGAGTCCCTGCCCTCCTGGAGCTTATATTCATTCTAATGAGGGAGACACATAATTAACATAATAAAAAGTAAATTATATACAACACGTTAGAAGATAAACTCCATGGAAAAAAGAAAGAGGAAAGACTAGAGCAGGTTAACAAGGGCTGAGAACGCTGTGGTAGGGGGATATGTGCAGCAGGGTGTAGTATAAATGCGGTAGTCAGGATAGGCTTCACTAGAAAATGAAATTTGAGCTAAGATTTGAAACAGGTGAAGGATTTAGTCAAAGACTGCTTGGGGACAGAGTGTTCCAGGCAGAGGAAACAGCCAGAACAAAGATCACGACACATGTACATCCCTGGTGTGGAGGGGTTGGCATGGCAGAATAGAGAGAAGGAAGAGCAGAAGAGGTCAGAGAGGTAAACAGGGCACAGAACCAATCATGCAGGGCCCTGTAAATCATAAGGATTATAAGGGAACTGAGATTGAGAGGACTAATCTTTTCACACACTTTAAAAGGATCCAGGCCAGGGTGGTAGGAGTAGAGGAGAAAAAAGTAGGTATCTTGTAGATACACTCTGGAAGAGGACCAACAGTATATGCTGATGGATTGTATACTGGGTGTGAGAGAGAGAAGTCAAGGACTCCAGGTTTTTTCCCTGAGCAACTGTAAGGATGAGAACTGCTATCAGCTGAAATCAGGATGGCTGTGGGGAGAACGAGCTTGGCAGGGGGAAGAGAGAAAGGATCAGCAGTTCAGTTCTGGACATGTTAGGTTTGTCTGAGTTACTAGACATCCACATGGCATTGTAAATTAGGCAGCTGGATCTATAAATATGGAGCTTGTGAGAGGTCTTATATGTAGTATTTAGAACTGAGGGACTGGATGAGATTACCTAGGAAGTGAATGTAAACAGGGAAAGCAAAAAGAACCAAGGACTGAGTCTTAGACCCATCCAAAATTAAAGAGTTGGAAAGAGGAAGAAACTGCAAAATTAACTGAGAAGGAATGAGAAACAGGAGGAAAACCAAGAAAGTTTGGAGTCCTGAAAGCCAAGTAAAGAAAGTTTACCAATGAAAAAGCATACACACCTGAAACTAATATAATACTATATGTCAATTATACCCGAATAAAAGAAAATAGATGTAATAAAACACAAACAAGCAAATAGTTTTCGGTTCCAGTAAATCTAGTTACTTAATCCAACCATAGTGAGTTAGAAACATAGTGAGTTAGAAACCATCACCCAGTTACCAATTCAAGGAACCAGGTATTTGTGAATGAAGGGAGACTATGTTCATCTAAAGGAGGGCACTGAAATCAAATCGTAGTTACTGTGACTCTGCCTCTTGTCCTGCCCTAAAGTGATCCACACGTATTTACCCAAGGAGCAGTGTGCAGCATAAAGGAAAATATGGCGATTGTTTGGGGGAATACTGATTGCAACCTTCAGATCCCCAGGTAGTCCCTTATTCATGTGCACTTTAAATTCCATACTAAACCCTTTATTCTTATTAAAAAAAAAAAAAAAAAAAAGTAGGTTGTACCACATTCTGAAATTATATCAAGTAAAATGAGAACTAAGAATTGATTCTCAACACAGTGGAGGTCATTGGTGAACTTGAGAATAATTGTGCGGTGTGGTGGAGGGCGAAGGTCTGACTGGAGGGGATTTAAGAGAATGAAAGAAGAACTGGGGAAAACAGGAGAGCCAACTCTTCAGTTATTTTGCTGTAAAGGGGAACAGAGAAATATGGCAGTAGCTGGAAGGATTAGTGGGATAAAGGACTTTTCTTTGATATGAAAAAAAAGGTTTACATATAGATGAGAATAATCTATGAAGATTTCAACAAAAAATTGTTACTTTAGGACACAAAAGCAAAGAACTACTAAAGTAATAGTTTCAAGTAGGCAAAAGGGGACATGATTTAGTGTATAAGTGAGAATATTAGCTTTTGGTCAAGAATCTAAAGGTCAAGAACCTTTAGGTTAAGACAGTTGAATATTAAGAGAAAACAAGATGGTAACACTAAACCAAAGCTAATAAACACTAACTCTGGTTTAACAGATATGTAAAATCCAGAAGTTCATCTGTTAGATGAACTTTTCCTGTTCCTCTTGCCCTTATTCCCTTTGCCTCAAAGTACTACTCAATATTAATTTCAGCTTTTTTCTTGGACAAATAAAAAATATCCAAGCTTACTTCAAACATGGATCGTCCAAAGATAAAAGCTTCTAGAGTAAGATATAGGTTAAGGAAAGAGAATACAGAACCTACTTACCATTCTCATCTACTGCAAGCACACTTGCTCCTTTCCCCAAAAGCTCCTGAACCACCATTGTTAGCCCATTTCGGGCAGCAACATGCAGAGGTCTAGGGGAAAAAAATTATACATATACATGTTTTTATATGCATGCCCAGGCAGTGCATGTGCACACAAACACACATGCTACAAATCTGAGGCACCTAGTCCTAGGTGGGAGTGGGAGACAGCAGAACCAGTGTGCAGTGCACTGACAAACCTCGTCAATGTGCATAAGCTTAGCACCGGGCCACATTAGCAAGTTCTCGCCTTCACGAAACCCTTGTTTGTCTCCTTTGAAGACTCAATGTTTAAAAAGATTTTACCAACTGAACTACATTCTTAAGTTGTTTTTAAGGAATGAGGTTGGCAAACAGGTACAACAGAATATACAATGAAAACTATAAATTGCAATAGCACAAATTCCAATAGGCTTTGAAAACACTTTATAAGTTCCATGACTAATTCTGGGGCCCTTAAGAGATCTGATTGATACATGAATGGGAACAAGCATCAAATAATTTTTCTTTTTACCAAGTCTCAGAGTAGAACAGCAAATGGAAATTGGGAGAAGACAACAGGAGGTATCAATCTAAGGTCTAAGTAGTCACCTGCAGGCTGGATGCTCAGATTAAGAACTTGATTCTTTCTGAAATCTCTTTAGCTTACAGACACATAAAGCTTTTTACCTCATTTATTGCTAGTGTCACATATGTACTATTCCAGTTGGTTTCCATGAAACATACAGATAGTATTACTTTCCCCCATAAAATTGGATTGAGAAAAAACACATTATTTTCAATAATAAAGTTTCAAGTTCAAAAAAAATTTTTTTTAGTAATATATCTTTTAATTGTGATGATTTTAGAAATAAGTTTTGTCAATTATAAAATCTGTGACTGATTCCAATGGTCCCATGTTAGAAAGAAATCAATCCTGTCAATCATTTCTATAGTTACAGGTCACTGGTTTACCCTAGACAAAGTACTTACGTTTGCAAGGCTGCATTGGTTGCATTGATGAGGTTTCTATCTGTTATCTTTTCCAGTATTAACAAGGCACTAGTTTCATGACCCTAAAATTACAGAAAATAACTTTTGATAACTTGGGTACCATTAAAGATAAATTTGTACACTCAATACACCCCTACCCCAGTCCACGCGGGTATATCACCATGGATTTTCTTGGCTAATTCCTTAAATATTTGTTCAAACATGTGTTGGTGGAATGAGGTTAGGGGGAGAGGACAAGAATATTTAAGATAAGATCAAAGAAAGACAATAATTATGTTTTGGCTTGTGCTCCAAAACTTACTTGGCTTACTGGTGACTCTTATACACCATGGTGCCCAACTCATCAGCACTTTTTTTCAAGAACTCTGAAGCCAGTGATCATTAGAGGTTCAGTCCCTAGCTCTGTTCATTTTAGTGAAGTAGAAAAACTTTAAATGCCACTGTTGATATTAACAATGAAAACATGTCCTTAAAATGTGTACGTACCTTGCTGCAAGCCAAATGGAGGGCGGTGTTTTTACTGTTATCTTGTAAAGTCAGATCTGCACTAGCACTGCTAACCAGCATCTCTGGGAGGAAAAAGTGCATCAATTCTTATGTTTATAAACACATGTCTTAGATTATCAATAACTCACTGTAGAGAAATGAAGACACAAAGCAAAAATATACCTCTAGCAAAAAGTGTAAGAAAAATACTATAATATAAAACATACATACTATATTAGCCAAAGACATGAACAACTGTAACTAACATTTATTTTGTGAGTGCTTTCTAAATTTCAAATACTGTTTTAAGTGCTCTGGATCTATAATAACTTATTTAACCCTCACAACAACCCTACAAAGTAGGTACTGTTATTTTTCTCACTTTATAAATGAAAAACTGAGGGATAAGGTCACTTACTTGGCAGATCTAGGATTCAAATTCAGTCATTCTGACTCCAGAGCCAATGTTCTGAACAACTACCTCACACTGCCTTGTGAAAGTAGACTATTCAATCAGAAGGACAAATGACAACATTGTAGCCCTAAATGAAATGTGGGTTTTAAGTAGGTAAAAGGTTTTAAATCTCAGGAGTGGTGGGATAACTAATGGAAAATTTGGTGAACTAGAGTCAGAAGGCTTGGGATCTAAGTTCTACATAAGCAATACAGATACTTAGAATAATAAAGCCTTAACCAGTTTCTTTACCAACTGTGTTTGTTTGTCCATTTTCTGCAGCCATCATGAGAGGTGTTTTCCCAGAAGCATCCACAGAATTGACTTGAGCATTATGGCTGAGCAGCAGCTGCAAACACTCCACGTGGTCTGTAAAGGCGGCTGCATGGAGAGGAGTTCTGCGACACGGAGAAATCGAAAGACCTGACTAAATCTATGTCATATACTCTAAAAAATTATTCCTTAATTTATGACAAGTAATTTTCAAGGGTTTATAGATTAGACTATAAAAACACTGCCTAGATACAAAATTTTGCCACAAAATTTGTATTTCTGACAAGATAAAGGCCCTTATACTATTATAAATAAGGATAAAATATAAAATTGCTAAAACAATATTATATCATTAAAGGACATTTTGAAATAAATAAGGCCTGATCCAAAAACTGCAATCTATTACGGCTGAACTCTCTTCCAGTTTTTATTTCTATACAGAAAAATGTTAACTTTATTAACAAACATACCACTTAAAAAGGGGGGAAATCTTTATATTTTTACAAGTTTTAAAAAGAGGAAAACTGGCTAAAAAGCATAATAGAAAAGTCTTTTCTAATGAAAACATAATTAAGACTTCAGAGCAATTTATATTTGTGAATATAAATCAACTTTTAATTAATAATGGGTTGTCTATATATTCTTCCACATTAGTCCAGTCTTCCCAGTTTTTAGTCTTCCACATTTTTTCCTATTGAAAGTAAAACTACTGCCTACATAGATGAATCTCCTACCTTCCTTTTGAATCTGTGGTGTTCACGATGCTGGCACCTAATGTATCAATTAACATCTCAGCAGCACCTTCATTGTCATTTATCCTGTGTAAGGTAACAAGGAGATCACTATCACAGCAATGGTGCATTTCTTAAACAGTCAAAACAAATCTGATTCGTTCTGCGTTTACTTACACAGCACAGTGCAATGGACTGAAAGCATTTCCATCCATTTTCTGGAAAACTTCTTGTTCTAAAAGAAGTTCTACACATGTCTCATGACCTAAATATGTAAATGAGAATCAGATATTAAAATCCCCCAAAATACCAAAGGGCCAATATCCATCCATATATCCTTACGCAGGTAGGAAAAAGCTTTACATGGATCAAAAATAACCAGTCCACTGAACCCATTACACAGCATATTTTCAGGAGCTTTGGAACACAAAGTACAACCTCAAGACCTGGAGTACAGTAGCTTCTTATGATAATTTTACTGTAGTTTATTATGTACGTAGCAAATATTTAATTTGTGGGGGAAAAACTGTTTCATTATTCTTTTCCCTAGTGACCAGTTTAGAGTTATTTGGTCATTATTTTTTAAAATGTCACATTTATACAGCACAGTATAACTCTCAAAATAATATATATTTATACAACATAATTAACTTTAAAATTTAAATATTTTCTAAGTATAGTAATGAGGTAATGGTAAAATATCAACTACTACAGAAGTGTTTAAGAAGGAAGGAGCACATGTCTCTGCTGCTCCTACCCCTACTGTGTCAGTTCTACATTCTATAACTGCTACCTTAACAGTTCCAGAAAATTTCTAGGCATATACAACTGTATGTACACACACACACACACAATTCCTTTTAAATTTTTACACAAATGGGATGTTACTTCTGCAACTTTTTTTTTTTTACTTAATAAACTGTATATATCCTTCCAAAATGACATTCATAGAAATCTTATTTTTGAATGTTTGGAAGAACTTCACAATATTGAAGTGTATCATAAATAATTTCATTTCTAATTATGGCTTTCAAGGTGATTGCTGGTTTGTTTCTTTGTGTATTATCAAAAATATTGTAATGAAACATTCCAATACTATTTTTAAAAAAGAGTATTTTTCCAGAACAATTTTTTAGAAATAATAGTGTGGGGTTAATGGACAAGTATATTGATTACTGATAGTTTTTAATACAACTCTGAAAACAGGGAAAAATCCAAACCTCAGATTTTCTTAATCTAATTTACAAAGTCTCTGTTTTAGTAAGAATACAACAATTGCTATACTAATTGCTGAAATTGAAATGTTGCTTCTTTTATTTCATTAGGCATTTGAGAATCTGCTGTAGGAATAAATTAGATTCTTACATAGTCTCTTTATTTCTATGGCTTAATATTTGGCTAAAAAAGTAATGCTATATTCCTTTTCTTTTTAAATTACTATAACATTCTTAAACAATAGCTCAACTTAATCTTTATCCTATAATTGTTTTTACCAGGGGAAAAAGTAAATAGGAAACCTTTAATTGTGTTCCATCTTTTGTCAGTTCTTTAATCCAGTGGTTCTCAAATGGAGCAGTTTTGCCCCTCAGGAGACACATGGCCATGTCTGGAGACATTTTTGCTTATAGCAACTGGGCATGGGGTAGGGAAGTGCTACTGGTATCTAATAGGTAGAAGCCAGGAATGCTGCTTAAACATCCTGCAATACACATGATAGTTTCTCACAACAAAGCATTATCTGACCCAAAATGTCAAGAGTGCTGAGGGTGAAAAACCCTACTTTAATTCCCTCTCTCATGTTAACTCATTACCAAAAAGTAACCATGGAAAGTTGTCCAGCATTAATCTAAGACTCTCTTATTTTCCTGGTATAGCAGTTATCAAGGTGTGGTCTGGGTAACTCTAGGATAATAACTATCCATTAAAGAAATTTGCCACTCCCCTAAAATTTTTCTTTTGGAAAACAGTTACCTTTCAAAAAATGTTACTCATATTGACATGTAATAGACTAGTATTTTAAAATAAATTATTAAATAGCATTAAATTTCTCAATTCTAATTTCCAATATAGTAAATGTTAATAGTGATAAACCCACAGGTCCTGAGGCTAAAAGGTTTGAGAATCACTGAGTATATTGCAAACTGCAAAAAAAAAAAAAAGGGAGTCCTGGGGCTCCTGATTACCTCCAGCAACCATTATTGGGTCATATTGAGCCAAGAAACTAATTACTTGTGTCCTAGTTTATGAAAGAATGAGAAAACTTGTCTCTTCGTGTTTCAGAGGAATATACTGAGGATGAGTAGTGCTTTGTAAAATTTGATAATTTTTTTATAAAGGAACATATGAGATAATGCAAGTACTCTTAAGTTCTATGACTGAAAGACTACATAATTGAAAATCTGAACTTGAAGGTTTAGTTATGTATAACCAGTTCCTTTCTAAAGCTTTGTCATTAATCCATTTTGAGAGCAAGGTTATTTTCTGTTTTGTTGGAGCGCTTCCAATTTTCTTTTCAGCTGTACAATAATTACTAGTCAACGTAAAACCATCTTACATATTTTACTCTCAAAATGCCAAATTACAAATAGGCTTTTGGCTATAAATATGGTATTAATTTTAGACTGTCTGTATAGTTTCTTATTGCATATAGCCAACACACATCTAATTCCTTATAGCTCAATTCAGAATCATAATTTTGCTACGGTCTGGAAATTAGACACATCTGTTATGATCTTTAAATGGCAACCAGGCATGTAGTTTGTGCAAAATTTTCTCTTGTACACTGCGTGCTTAGAAAGTCTAAATTCGGTAGAGACAGAGTAGAAATTCACTTTAGGGAAACAGTATTCTGCGAAAAGACTTAATAAGAAATGTTATAATAGATAGCAACTCTCCAAAGGACAGTTACAGTAGCATATTTACAACTAAATTCTCTACCTGAGGAAAAATACCTTACGGTATGATTCTACCGATGGTTAATTCTCTCACTGATACATTAAAAAAAAAAAAAAAAAAATTTCA